TGGCTTTACTATCCTTTAATTATATCCTTATCCTTAATTTATGTAAACTTCTGTTTTCTTGTTTCCTCCTATTGTTAAAGAAGTCCAAAATATTTTAATTCGTCTTCATTTTAGATCCCCACAGTAAGACAATAGATTTCAAGAAGTTTAAACTCACACAAAGATCTGTCCTCTAAAATGAGTGACAAGCGTTGCATAAAAGAGAATGCCCACAACTTAATGAAAAAAACATTTTGTTCCCTTTACAGTAATGATCGGCTACAGTGATATTGCCACATGAGAAATTCAAGGTTCAGGGGCTTTTTTAATATTTAGAGAGAAAAGCCAAATGGCATAAGCTATATGAAAACTCAGCTCTTATTTTCCATTAATTGTAGTAATTTTTGCTCTAATTTTTAATGCAGATACTCTTGGGAAATACTGAAATTAAACATTAGACTATGTGATCTTTATTTTCTTAAATTGTGATATCAGTCATCGCTTTCAAGAGCTGGCGTTTCCCAAAGCACTTGAGTTTTCTTCCAGAGTCCCAACTTCAAGCTCAAATCTCCCTCACCATGACTGCTCCAGTCACTGATTATCCTTTCAGATGGAACACATTGAAACTCAGTCTTTACTGTGTAGATGAAATTCCTCAACACCCAGCACTTTGATGCAAACCGACACCACCTTTTTCTTTGAAGACAGCTCTGGGACCCAGCTCCAGGGAGAATTCATCACCCATCCCTGTCCAAGCACCATGTAGGGCTCCACAGCCCTAAAGAATGACCTAAATAACCCTAAATAATCAAAGGGGTGTTCTCCGATGCTATCTGCCCTTTTCTTAGGTTATTCCATGATCTTCATGGTGGCAGCTGGGAATCCCAGCAATAAATGCCTAGTTCCCTTCTGCATTTTCTGAGTAATGCATAGCTCAAGGCTGTGATTTCCATTAGGAACAACACACCTTTCCTTCTTCTGAATTGAGGGTGGGAATAATAATATTGCAGGGGATGGTTCTTCTTATCCAAACTTAAGAACCTGTACAAAAAAAAAAAAACCATTTTTATACACAAGTAATCACAAATTCTTCTTCAAATCAATGCAGCATTGCACATAGTTTTGAAAACTTGCTGGTCATACTGTTTATTTTTTTGACAGCAAAATGATGAAATCTAGAAGTGAAGTTCAGGAAACTTTTGTTCATGCAGTTTAGAAACCAGTGTGTGTAGTAAGCTGGATGGCAAAATCACACAATGTGCTACTGGAAAGATGGTGGAAATAGGACTTTTGAAAGACTTGTTTATCTTCAAGATAGCTTATTATTAAATTGGTTTATAACTTACGAAATTTATAAAGACTTCCAGTACTTCTGTCTGAAATATTTTGCGTGTTTCAATGAAAGTGTTATCATCAATGGAAATATATTTATGCAAGTATTATTTAATGGGTTCCAAAGTATCTTCATAGTTATTTGAATATGTGCTCTGTTCAGGTTGAGCAAATGCCATGACAGACTTGTATGCATTGCCCCACACTGGGATTCACAGAGCAAAGACAAAACTGTTTTTTTTTTGCACAGTGCAGCAGCTTTTCTCTTCTTCAGAAGTCAGGTGCATTGGACCAAACCCCTTTGTTTCTACACTGTCATATGTAGAACTTAAATAATATTTCTCTTCTCATGTATTTACCTAATTTCTTCACTTCCTTCTTAATTAGACTTTATTTTCTGCTTTTCTTTAATAATTTCAGAATTAAAAGGTAGCTGTAGCAGAGATGTACCACATAAGAAGGATTATACTTTTAAAAAGAATTTTTTCTACTAATCAAAACTTGTTAAAAATATTGTATTATTTGATCTCTAGATTAATAATTGAAATTATGAAAATGAAGATGATTCACCTCTTAAAACAGGTAGAAGAGGGTTCACTCACAAAGCATCATGTTTATAGCACTAAAGAGTAGCAATATGTACATTTTAGCCCACAATCACAATCTTATTTTAGAACAGTGTGATAAAAAGTGCCACAGCCTCTAAAGCTGCTTTTCTTTACATAATGAAGTGATAATTTGCCCTAGTACTTGAACCTGACCTTTCTACATTCAAGGTGGGTGTCCCAAAGTACAGCTAGCACTCTTTTCTTTCTCATTTCAACTGATGCTGAACTTTTCAGGCTAAGTAGAAAAGAGTTATTTCTGTGTGAAAGCCTTAAGGCATGCCAATTAAGTTCTTTTGCTTATGGATGGAAAGCCTTTTAACCAATATCAGAATGTGAAAAAAAATCATAACCAAAATGTCCTCCATGAGCACTCTGTCCATTGGGATGGTGGCATGTTTGCTTGTGCTGTCCCACATGGGAGAGTAAGAAGGAATGGATCTCTGATTTCACTGTCACTACTCAGTAAATCACAAGTGTTAAGATGGGAGCAGATTGGCACAAGCCAGCAAAAGTATCGAAAGAAAGATTCCACAGTTCCTGCCTATGGAATCTATATCCAAATGTCAGCTAAGTTAAGATTTTGTGAGTATCATAGGAATTGGAATTATGGACTGGAACCTGAAACAAGAAATTTTCCATATGAATTTCATGCTAAACTCTTCAGCTGTAGAACTGGTTAGTAAAACTGATATTTTTCCCCATTGGTTACTAGTACTCTTAGAATCACATATTCACAGAAGTTATAAATAAGTTTGAAGAAACATCTGAAAGTTGTTTAGTTCAACCTCCTTCTAAAACTAAGACTAGCTTCAAAGACAAATCTGTCCCTTTGGGCATTACCCATGGAAGTTATGAAAATTTCTGAGGATGTAGAGTATGCAGCCTCCTTGGGCAATGTATGACAGTACTTTATGAACTCATTGGGAAGAATTTTTTTGTATGTCCAGCTCAAATTTCTCCTTCTTGAACTTTCTCTTTGTCACCATTCCCTTTTACCATACATCCTGAAACTGGACACCTTTTCTGTATCACTCTTTTAGACAGTGGCAGACTGCAGGGAGACATGGACTGAGACATATGGTATATTCAGAGAGGCTAAGGGAAGCACCTTGGCATTACCTGGAAAGAAGAAGGTTGAAGGAAGTTCTCTTGACAGGTTCTACTCTATCATGAGTTGGACTCTTCCCAGTCTTATTGTTCACACTCCTTCATTTTGCATAAAAGTAGTCAGTGTACTGAAATAAGCTGAAAAGAATAATAATTTTCTGTTGTGTTGTTAGATTACAGCCATCAGCTGGCATATCTCATCAGTTTGTGCTCTAGAGGTCTTAGTGTTTAGTATATTTTTCCACGAAGGGAACAGTTGGGTTAAAAGCTATCTGGAAATTGTTAAATACCATTTGTCATTCAATTTTCTTTTCTTTGGGGTGTTTTGCATGCACTTCCTTCTTCTTTTTCTATGTAACAATGCCTAGGTGCTATTCCACAGTGATTCCCACCCTGATGTGTTCAGAAGGCCCCAGATGTACACTTCATTCTGCATTGAAAATTCTAGCCAACTTCTAACAAATTTTACTGTCAATCTTTCCTGTACGTGGGTAAAAAAGCAGCAACATTTATGAATTCCAAAATGAAAGAAAAAAGGAAGGAAATATTTCCATTGTTTTCTGAATCTCTTTTTGTTTTAGTCCCAGGTTTCTTTGTGAATTGTGTTTTGATTTTGAACATCTGGAACTGGCAACGTGCCAACAAAATGGTTTGGTACGAATCGGTTTGGGGTTTTTTTCAGAGGTGCTAGTTTCTGCTTTTGCTATAGAAACTAACAAAGTTTCTGTTTGAATGTTTAATAGTCCAGTAGTTGAAAATAAAACAGTACCCATGGGATGATCTGTACTTGCAAGCAAGCCACTTACAGCTCTCAGTTACTAACACATTTATTTTAGTGTGTTCCAAGATGCTGACAATATTTGGACTATTTAGTCCTGGGTGGAACATACTACCATGTCTTTAGCATGTGTAGCTGCATTTTACTCACCACCTGTGGTTTCTGAGAGATTTCACTGTTCTTTTGACAATACTGAAACATTAGTTTGCACGTTTTCATAGTGCCATGATTTCCATACTGCAAACTTCATAAGGCAACGCAAGTGTAGTGGCACATGTTGAATTATTTCTACAAAATATTGAAATGTCAAAGTAGAGAAAACAGTTTTTTTAACCTTACAATAATTTTTATAATGATAGAATAGCTTAGATTGTCTTGTCCTAACCTGTTTTTTTTTCATTTTATAAAAGAAAGAAACATAGTTGTCAATGACATGGACAAAAGGACACTATTTGATATGTTTTATTTTCTACACTCTGGTTAAAAATAGCATGCAAGTAATTGAATAAAAATATTTGTATATATGATTTATTTTGAAATAACAATTATACCAGCAATGAATAAAAATCTTACCATGACAGTTAAATGAAAGTATGACAAAAAGAAGAGTAAACAATTATTTAACCTGAATATTTTTTCCTTGTTATCTTTCATGTATTCCATTAATATAACAGTGTCATAGGCTCTGAACACATATTTTCACAAATTTTAAATTGTTCGTATGTTGTTAAATCATTTTTTCCTTTGCTGTGGGTAACAATATATAAAAGGCATGATGATTAGGAAAGTTGGGCAGGAATCTTGTATGGACACAGGCCAGCCCATACTGATCACTATAACTCACATCGAATCCCAACTAACTTCCCTGTGAGTCTGGAACCTGCTGGCATGTACTGCATGCATGAATATAGATTTTTATGAAGTTGAATCTTTTAAATCATCTCATTTAGCCAGATAAAGACATATTTTGCATCAGATTTAGTAATTCTTGTGCTTTCTAAGTAGAACCATTCGTAAAAATATGCACACGTTCCCTTAAATTTGCCAAGTCCTTACTAAATATTCACAAACAGAATGGATAATATGCAGACTGACACTTGCTTTTAGGCATACCCTAATGTTAAAACACTACCATGGTGTGTTATTCGTGCAGGGAGTGTCCCTGGGAGGGAGCTGGGCGCTCGCAGGTGTGTCACTCCAGCGAGATCTCGGCGGCCACCCGCAGGCAGTTGTACATCTCCTGCGGCAGGTCGGCCCGCGTCAGGTTGTTTCCGTCCAGGCGCAGGTGCGTGATCCTGGAGTAGGTCGTCGGCCCAACCACCTTACAGAAGCTGCTCAGTGGGAACTCTGAAGCAAACAGAACAGAAATAAGAGGAAACCATTAATAATTAGCACAAATAGGACAAAAACTTTATATTTCTACTTTTTTTTTTTTTGGATTTCAGTTGAAAATTGTGACCTTAATTCATTATACTATTATCAGTATTTTGCATTTACAATGACCCTGTAAATTCATTGGAACCTGAGGGACTTGTGTTGGGAGATTTTCTTTCTGTTAGCTGTGAGAGGTTCAGAATTTGAAGACTGAGCTTTTCAAATGCCATTTTCTTCCGGTACAAGTTTGACTTTTAGACTTCAAATTTTATATAGAGGTCTAATCTGGCATTTAGATAAAAGGAAAAACGGCTCTAAAAAAAAACCTCGAGATGCAAAGAGAGGAATCAGTCAGTTTGTGTACATTACAATGGATTTTACAAGATATTGAAGGAAGCAAAAAGCTTCTGGAGAAATTGAAACCATGATACAGCTTTAGCCTAAAGAACAGGCAGTCCAGTGGGTGTCTGTGTATTTCATATGTATTTTATATGTGCCATTTTGATTTGCCTGTTTCAGAAGGAAATTTGGGTGTAGGGTTGAAGAGCTTTACCTTTAAACTGTGTAGTTGAACCTTTCCACATCAGAATTAGGTGAGTATAAATTTAAAAATTACTTATAAAATATATATATTTATTGTAATTTATATATCATGTTATATATGGTCTCTATTCAGTTGGAGGATTCACGTAACACCGGATAGTTCTTGAATGGAAATTTGCCTTGTGTCCTATGATCAGTATTAACTGTAAGGCAGAAATTACATGAATCACTGAAGTTCTCTGCTCAGTATGAAGAGCACACACCCAGCCATATTATAGACCTCTTTCATGCAGAGTAGATCCATCCTCAGGAAAGAATGTATGTGAATAAATCTGATGGCCCCTGCATACCACGGTGTAGTTTTGCAAAGAGAGTCTTCATTCACTGTTTCCTTTGAGTCAGACAGAGAATTAATCTACTGAAAAGCTCTATAACTACCAAAAAAACAGTCTGAGAGACTTGTTCATCTTCAGAACACTGACATTGCATTAATTCATACAGAAAATACTTTAAAAGGTTAAAGGCACTCCTTCAATGAACCCATGCCTCTCATACTTTCTGAGACATCAAGTTAGTATTATCAAAATCAAATATCATTTGATTTACCTTTCATAGGCCACCTTATGTATCTTTTCTATGTGGCTAATTAACTCATCTAAGAAAGCATGATCAAATTGTAGTACTAAAGGAAGTGGAGGAAGGACCTTTCATAACTTCTCATAAACTTTTGGATTAACATTCTTCTAATTGGATTCTTCCAGGACATGCTTTACAATAATTTTCTATCACTAATGGAACATGACTTTAGTAAACTAAATATAAATGTACAGGCAGCTCTTTGGAGCATAAGAGCTTAGGCAATATTTTGGACAGAGATTTGATGTTAAGCGGGTAAAGACTCAAGTACCATCCACAAAATAAGTTGTTTCAAGTAGGAGGTAAGGAAACATAATTTAATAGTCAGATCTTGATCACCAAGATTTGATTAAAGCAAATCAAAGCAATTTCCTAGATTTTGTATAGAGTGCTGCCTTCTTTTGAAAGGGTGAGAGGTGAATGGCATCCTTTGGGCAGTCCATGTTGTCATACAGTAAAATTTTAAGACTTCAGACCAATTCTGACACTACTCTGGTTCAGAATGTACCAGCAGAAGTAAACTAATAATTCTTGTTCATTAAGATCATATGATCAGAGAGATTTTTATAGGATTATGTCTGGGTGGAATTTTGCTGAATGAAAACATAAATTCCTGAGATTTTAATTCATTTTCTTGGGCTATAGGCTATGTCATTGACTATTTATTTCCAGTTTTCTTCAGATAACTTGGATTTAACTTGTAAAGTTTAAAATAAACATGAATTCTAATATTTTTTCCATCTTCTTGTCATTCAGGAGTGACATGGTAAGTATATTTTTGCTGATGACAAACATTTAAAAACTTTATAAAATTAAATTGTTGGGGTTTTTTCATATCATTACTTTTTAGCACAAATATTAACATTTGGTTGCAAAAGATATGCTTATACAGGCTGGATAGATGGTTAACTACTCAAAGGACAGAAACTTCATACACGTAAACCACAAAATTTAAGTGTGATAACAAAACTCTGATCTGTGCTGACTGTTTATGAGACTTAAACCACTTGGGAAGTGGATGAAGATCTTGGCCTCACAGAAGTCAAATTAACTCAGTCCTGGACCTCAGTGGGATTTTGTTTCAATATTTGGTCCACACCTTTTAAATGTGGGTATCAAGACTCAAGTTTATTTTATACTCTTCATATAATTTTCAGTTGTTAGAAACATATTAAAAAATGTTTCATTTTAATTGCAGTCTCAACTAGTAGAAAAGAAGACCAGTGGTTCTTGTGAGTGCACTTGATGAGCTGTTACCTTTGTGATCTGTATGGGGAACATACTCCTTTAGACTTTAGAACTCCTTTAGACTGCAGTACTGTGACATCGAATATCGCTGTAGTTTACTTCCTCTTTTGTTACACTTATTAATGTTGTAGGTGAAAAAATGTCTTCCTGAATTTATAAAATCCAAGTTCAGAGCCAGTGTACCTGGAATTTTTTCCCACATATTTTCCCAACCCAGAGTTCTTGCATTAGCCGGACACTGAGAGAATAAGTACTGGATGAAAGTTGGATTTTATTCTAACAGTACAGTGAGCAATCCTAACAAGATCTGAAGTTCCATAGTCACTATTGTTGGTCTGTTGTCCTCTAATCCCATGTGAAAGATTTTTAGATAGGCCATGTTAAAAAACTCCTTTGGGAATTGTTGGAGTGAACCAGATAAAAGACCATAAAGCATCTCCAGAATTTGATATATAGACTCTTAACTGTCCTCTAGCACATTTTCATATTTCCCCTTTCATGCTCCATTTATGTGGAGTAACCCCAGTACTTCCTGGAGTTTCATGTGGAAGCAACAATTTTCTCCTTAATCCCTTACAGGTTCAGATGAAATGTGGAAAAGGCCATCTTTGGACCCTCTTCTTGTTTCACTGAAACTCTTTGGTTCTTGGGGTTTTTTCCATCCTGCAGAGTTTCTTTTTGCCTTGAGGAGTCTGTAACACAAGTGTCTGTGTGTGTGTGCTTGTGTACATTCTTGTGTTTGTGTATATAATAATAATGGCATCTTAAAGGTATTTGGACTTAGAAACTACAGTTTATGTTTGAGCTGTGGAGAAAGTGAAAGCTTTTCTAAATCTTCCATTGTCCTTTTCTAGCTTGGAGATACAATGAGCACCAAGTGCAGTAGATAAAAGTGTAGATTTGACACCTACAATCAATATAATGGACGTGCCTCAATCTATTAGTTAGAAATCAGAGGAGCTACTCTGAATTTGATTTCTCAACAGTTTGCTATCTGCTTCACCTACTGCTTCTTGCAACACAGGGGGAAACAGTACATACTAAAGCAAAGCCAATTCTGCTATATATTTAGAGGTGTTTATTCATCAGTTCTTGTTCAAAAAACTCAGAGTCACTCAAATAAGGGAATTTCTCAAACAGATTATTTTTCCTGAATGACATTGCACAATGATTGTAGCAAGTCCATGGTGAAATTCATGGACAGTAATTTAGAGAAATATTCTTTCCAGTAATATCAACAATGCTGGAACCAGATTATTCTTTCTTAGACAAATATAAATAACTACAAGCTTTAAGGTACCTAAGAAAAAGGGAGACATAGCAAGTTATGAGCTCTGGAGAAATATCTTTATATTAGTTCTCAGTATAAGGAAAACTTCAATCTAAGCAAGTACAAACTGCAAGATTATCCTTTTGTGTATTTGAGGACAAATTATTACTCCTTAGACAGAAGTCTCTCACAGCATAAGGGTATCATAGGCCATCACATGGAATGGAAGCTGGCCTGATTTACTTTCATAAATCACGGGTAAATCATGACAATTTATTAAACAAAGGAACTGGTCATTGATTTGAGGCTTAAAATAATCACAGACCAATCAAATCAATTTCCCAAAAGACTAAGCACTCACAGCTGTAGGTCAGGTGTCATGAATGGTGAAATCCAAGGGCTTTGTTTGACCTATATTGATGATTATTTTTAATTTATTTTTATACCACATTGTCAATCAGCATCTTAGGGAACTATATATTATGCCTGTAAAATTAGATGGCTAAGAAAATTGATTGTTGAAGTCTGCTAGATTTTATGATAAAGAAAAAAAAATCAGTAAATCATAATTTTGTTGCATCAGTCCATAGGGTAGTGATGGTAATGTAGCAGTAGCTGGTGAGCATCCACTCCCCACACCAACCCCCTGAAAATGTAGCTTGCCCTGAAAAGCTAAAATTGTTGTCATAGTCTCTGACTCTGATGTCCCTGGAAAAGTGAATAGCAGCCAAGATTGGTACCTGGTTATCTTGCAGAAGGCTCAGATCATCCTAAGTAGGGGAAAGTGCTTATATCTCATGAAAAGTTAAAAATCATTATTTTTAGCTATTTTAGGAGTGGCAGAGTATCTGGTAGAGTTCCACAGGTTTCTGTATGTGGTGCCTTGGGTGGGAAGTATTAACTCATTGTTTTCCCTTATCAAAACAAGAAACCGAGATGCTCTAGGAAAAAAAAGCCACTGAGAAAAATGAAACATAGTAAATACAAAACATTTCAAACTATCTTCCCCTAAATCTGGTAAGATCTGCGCTAAAAATGTTTGATTTTAAAGGCTACGGTCTCCATGGAGTTAGCTATGTATGGAGTAGCTAACACTGATACTCTTAATCCTTGATGGATACAAGCAGGCAAACAGAAGGGAGGATTTTGGAGTTTACTCTGTATAAACAAGCAAGATGATGTAAATCCTCCTGAAAAACCACAGTCATACTTGGCATATCTCCCTCTCCATCAGGGACTGCCACTGATGAAGGTGCAGCTGGGAACTTCTGGCATGGTGGTGGTGAGGCCTCTCCAGCTCTGCAACCCCTCCTTGTCAGCCCAGGAAGGGGACAGCCTTGTGAAAGCCCTGTCTCTGCAGAAACCGTCGTGGTCTCAGGCAAGGTGTGGCATTTCTTGGCTTCACAAGGAACATTTTTCAGATTATAAGTGAATGGAGACAAACTTGCCACCTGATCATGTAATGTGCAAAACGGGAATGAAAAGAAAGAACAGGAGCAGCTCTTTGGATTTCAAGAGAGGTTTGGAAGGATGCTGCATGAGGCAAGGGAGGAAAGAAACAAATGCAGTTACTTTGATGTATCTTTTTCACTACCTCTTGCGCCTGCTACCTTATGAATTTGTTTTTTCTCCCTTTCTCCCCCCTCCAGCATTTTGATTACCAGCACCTGAAAGGTTACCATAGTCATATCCTCACCTGACATCTCTCTGTTTTGTTAACTTAAGAATTCTGAACATCTTTTTGCACTGATCAAACTTTTCATTTTTTTCCTGAATTGTACAAGACAGCTTCCTTGGCTTCTATGTACCTACTCCAATTTACAAAAGATGAAAGTTTGAGGAAAAAATCCACTTTAGCATGAAAGCATAAATTTCTCATTTTAAGGATATATTGAGTGGCTGTCCAGTAAATATCTGTCTTTTAACATGAATGTGGACAACTGTTAGGTAAATGTCAGTGTGCTAACAGTCTAAACAGTAATATTTTTTCAGACTGGTTCATGTGTTATTTCAGATACTTGCATAGGCCATCAGTATCTAGTCTGTGGTAAACATTAATGAATATGTGCAAATTTAACTTACTGTTAATTTTGTTGACTTGGAGGTAGAAGTTTTCCAGGTTCTCACTGACAATTGGAATGCTCTTCAGCTGATTGAAGGAGAGATCCAACTCAACTAGGGATGTGATGTTGAAGACATTACCTGGTATTCCAGAATCTGTTAATTTATTGTGGGATAAGCGTAAATATTGTAGGGCTTTAAAACCTTGGAAGTACTCATCAGGAACATTGGAAATTTGGTTATTATCAAAATACAGCATGAGCAGGGAGTGAGGCAGTCCTGTTGGTAGCTTTGTAAGTTGATTGAAGCTTAAGTCAAGATACAAAAGTGAATTCAGGCCTTTAAAAGCCCCAGAAATAGAATCTGCTTTCAGCTGGTTGTTCTGGAGGTGAATGACAGTCAGGTTCATCAGCCCCTCAAATGCACCAGGATTGACTTTTGTGATCTTGTTGTGACTTAATTGCAGGTCATCCAGAGTTTTGGGAAGTGGTCCGACAGCTTCAGTCAAATTGTTGTAGTTAATGTGAAGTTTCTTCAGGTTCTTTAGTTTAGAGAAGACTCTTCCCTTAATTTTTGAATTTTCCAAATGGTTGTGATCCAGGATCAGCCACTGTAGGTCTGTTACATTGTCAAACGTGTTCTCTTCAATTCCCTCAATCATATTGTTTCGGAGATAAAGGTATTTAATTCCACTTGGGACAATGGGAATGGTTTTCAGCTTAAGATTGTCACAATACATGGCAGTAGGGTAGCTTAAAGGACAATTACATTCTGGGGCACAGACTGCTGCAGATGGCCCGAAAGGATCATAGCCATAATCGTCTCCAGGACCGTAGTCATACTGGCAAAAAATGCCACTGATCAACAGCAGAAAGACAGCTAGGGAGTTTAGAGTCATCTTTCTAATGTGTCCTGTTCCTGTATGATGAAAGGGAATAAACAGGATATAACTTTAGTTTTTCATCTCTCTCAGCAATATTTGAAATTTTACCACATAAAGATTATATTTAAAAACTAATTATGGTTCCTATTTTAAGTTTTTAATTAAGAGAAAAATATATTGGGTTGTTAGTATTACATTATTAATACTATATTACTGCCCCTGTCTTGTATAGTCTTCCTTCACAATGCAAAATTTCTGGCCATTTTGCTGTTGTAAGTATAACTTTTTTATATCTTTCTGCATTCATTGATTAGGTCACAAGAAAGATGATGAAGTACAAGGTTTTTAAACTTGCCACAGAAGTTTTCAGTTTTGCTGAAGGCCACGTTCAGAGAAAGTTCCACCATTTAAATTCTACCAAGCATTCCTTGTGTGCTGAATTGTCTCATTTCTAAACATGTTGCTAGTTGACTTAAGTTTGAAAGAGACAGGGAAGTTATAACTGAGGGTAATGCTCTCATGCATGGTGGGCTGTTAAGATGTGTGTGGCTTGAAATCTCTTCTTCTCATGGATTATATTCTGTGAAGCATGGTCCACTAAGTTTCATAGTCACCTAAAGAACAAACTAATAGGAATATAAAGCATATTATCTTTAACATGCCAAACAACCAGTATTCATATGTGTGCAATGGATCTGAAATGACAGAATCTGAGAGTGGACCTGAAGTGATTGAATTTCAGATAGTGAAAATGTCCTTGCAAATTCTCTATACAGCAAAGGTGCTGGTTACATTGTATGTCCCTTCTAAATTAATTGAACAATAAAACACTGGCTTTACATAGTTAGTTGTTCAGTTCACATACAGCAAAAGGACATTTGGTTTCCTTGGAGGTGTTTGTGATTCAGTATACATAGGGTCACTTAACTCTTTAAGGCCATTGCTTTCTCATCAGGTACCCCACAAGATGTCAATTAATCTGTGAAGACTAGTATCCTGTTTATACCTCTAATTGTCTAGATAGATCTTCTGCTGGAAAAGTATCAATAAAGTCAGTGAGCTTTGATATTCACTAGTAAAAGACAAGGCTCCAAGTACTCAACTACTGTTCAGAGACTGAGAGGATTAAGAAAATCCTTAAAACCTTTTTTTTTTTTTTCTCAAGGAATTTCAGAAAGTATGTGAAGCCTGTAAACAGACCACAAGGCATTGATCTCAGATCTGGGCAATTTTCCAGCAGAGTAAGTTAGTCTTGCTATTGGAATTGTTACACAGGGGACTTAAAGTGTAGGGCCATAGCTGCAAAATTTTCCCTAATTCTAAATGTCTTTCTTCCTATTGGCTTCTTAAAAGCCATACTATATTGTAGTGAGATAACAATCTCATTTAAAGCATCTCTAGGCAGAGCCTATTGATCTCATGTAGTATAGCACAAAGAATTTCTTAAAAATGTTCTTATGTTACCTCTACTCAATAACCCATAAAGTCCCACTGCTAGATATAAAACTGCTGTCCCCCAGAAAAGAATCTGATTATATATCATCTCCATGGTGTTGGTCCCATCACATTTACCTAATTACAAACCCTAGGATAATCATTGAAATAGTAGCTGTCAGTGTAATTTTCTTTGCCTGTCTTTCATTACTTCATGAGAACATGCAACATGAACATGAGCTCGACCTTCAGTCCCCTGCTGGTATAAATAAGTACAGCTCATCTGAAAACAAAGACTGCAGCAACACAATTCATCTCAAAATCCAGTCCTATTTAGGTACTAAACATTAAAGAAAGGAAATCAAGTACTTCTGTATTCAAAGTATAAAAAGAGTGTAATGAACTCCTTGGACTACACTCTTTGGCCTTATGGTGACATTTTTTACACACCTCCTTAATTTTATAGTTTAAAAATAACATAGACATTTAAAATTCAAACTCTTTTTTTTTCTGGTTTCAAATTATATTTGTTATGCTAAGTTTCATTATTGATATCATAGTCTTACAGTCCTTTAAATAGAGTAAAAATTTTACTGCTCTGCAGGACCCTTCAAGTAACTAAAAATGTTAGATGGCAAGTGTTTTGAATTAATTTATCAAAACGTTTTAGAATTTTTGTGACAATTCTATAGTTCAGGGGCATATGAGCCTACATGCACCATAAAATTGCAAAGTAAATAGGAAACTTATTTAACTTGTTTTATTAATGCATTTCTCATTCAGGTATCTGAATGTCTTACCGTCAGAAGTGTAAAAGGTTAATAGATCATGCTTGTTTGTTGCACTGAACTACATGAATACAAAATATAAAATCAGAAAACATTCTTACATTTTTATATTACAACATAAACATGCTTTAATTAATTACCTGTGCCTGTTCTAAGCAGTTGTGTTGCAAAATACCTGTGAAAATATTTGTGAAGTTGCTCAGGCAACTTGCCAAAACATACAAAATTATAAATCCATAATTTTGGGAAAACGCTTCTGAAATTAATGTAGAAATACGATTCAAATTATGTTTGACCGTGTCTATATTTCCTTAATCATTAATTTATTATGCAACAAAATACATATAAAACTAACAGTCAATCAACCTTAATTCTGTAGCTTAACTTCTTACCCAGTTTGCAAAAGACCACATTTTTTAAGTTTCACTAGTATATTTAAAATGTGCTTTAAAATTAATTAGAAATTTAAAAATATCTACTGTTTCCCTCTCACTGTTTATGTGATTAATTATTTACATATCAGGATACATTTTCTTTTTGTAGAATGGAGTAAATGGTTTAGCAAATGGGGTTTACAAAGCTCTCATTAATATTATGAATGAAAAAGTAAACAGTGAGTAGCTTACACACTTCTTTGTACTGTATGTCAAATCTTATTCCAATGTAGAACAAAGCAGACTGTAAAAAATTGCAACACTGATGTACAAAATATGTGAAGCTGTTTTAAGGAAACTGAGAAAGTGAATCGACAGTGAAACTGTTGATTTGTGCTCAATTTTCAAATTGGCAAACTTATACTGTCATGTTTTCATGTTCCCATTGCAGCTACATTTAAACAGCTGAACATTACAGTTAAAGCATGCAGCAGCACTTACCTTTCTGCCTTCAAGCTGCTTTCCTTAATTCCCAGAGCAGATGCAATAAGAGGCTGTATCGACCAATATATGCTCTAAACAGTGTCAGGAGGTAAAAGTCTGCCAGATCCTCTGTGTTACAAGAGGGAAAAAAAAAAAGCCCTAGTCACGCTGTTCTCTGAAGCTGCTATGTCATCATGGTGATCTTGTGGTGTGGCATGTACAAAAATGCAGCTCTCTAATGAAGTGCAGGTGGATACCATATTTTGTACAAGGACAACCCATCTGTTCCTCCTGTGGGATCAGAGAATGATATTTCACAAACCTGAGAAAGTTAAAAAGCCACAGGTTTATAAAAGATTTTTTTTTTTTTTGTATTTCAGAGGGAAAACATGTTATATTGTAAAAGAAATTGCAAACAGGCTTTTGTTTTCCAACTTATTTTATACTGCTAGACATGAGCTAACACATAGCACTCAGACCTCAATGCTGCTGTTCTTCTTCAGCCAAGTGACTCATTCATTTTTCTGCCTTTTTCTTTAACTGTCTTATGACCACAGTAAAATATCCTTAATGAAAACTTTAGCCTAAGGATCAGATTCAAAATTATCTTTGAATCATACCCCTTTCCACATTACATACTGAGTTCAAAGATTACATATTTGAGTTCAAAGACTCTTCTGCAAATCATTGGAATTGATTTGGTCTGGAGATTTTCTTTGGTGGTTGAATGTATGTTTGTTTAATAAAAACACATCCCAGGAATGGGTTTTGAGCAGTTACTGTAAACTCACTCCATACATTTGTTCATTTTGCACTTACAGTTTTCTCCTGCTTTTCAGAATCTGGAACTACTCAGCTTTATGTTGTCTGTTTCTTATTCCATGGATGTAGTTCAAGAATGCATCTTAAGGCTTGGATGAGATGTTACTTTCACCAGGCAATGTCGAAAAAAATTACATTAAGAAAGTAACAGTTTAAAGTGGATCTTAATGCTCCCATAAGAACTTTCCCTTATCTTTAAATGGAGGATGTCTTCCTTTATATGGGAAACATATTTTTTGATAGATTTGGGTAGGGAAAAATGTCAAATGTGCTGATAGAAAGCACGCACAAGCTATTTTAAAGTGTCTTATGTGTTTAATTGCATTGTAATTGATAGGGTAGAAATTCAGAGATTTTGTCCATTTTCAATTTATTATCTTTATGAAAAGTTGTAGTACAGAATGTGTCTGGGCTAGAGAACCCTATCAGTTTCCTGAAGAGAAGCCTGGATATGAGCTTCTCCCAAAATTTGCTGCTGATGCATTTCAGTCTCCACAGCAGTGAAGGCTCCTGGGAGCAGGGAAAAGCCAGTGCCCTTCACCAAGAGCAGGAAAGACAACCAACACTTCCAGAGCTTTGTGCTCCTGCAATGCCCCAATCAGCAAACAATTTGCTACACACAGAGTGCCCTGTGCCAGGGCAGCCCACAGGGAGGGAATGTTATGCTTTTGATGTTCTGACATCATGCCTGCCTCCTTGGTGTGGGACAACCATTTACACTCTGGGAAACAGGTTGGTGACAGATTACTGCTTGCATGGTGCCAAGAAGTGAATGTGCAGCAGTGGGATCACAATTGTGAATTAATCTAAGTGAAAAACTGCATGGTATCAGGACTAGAAATGTACAAATGGACAAAGCTGCTGTTGTTCTGCATGTAGACAAATGGAGACCAGATGGAGTTTCTCATGCACAGAATGATATTTATCTGAAAACTACTTCATTAGCTTTACTTGACCAAGGAAACCTCAACTGTGACTTGACTGCAAATGTAGCAAAAAGCAGCACTCAGCAGTTGGAATAGAAAAAAAAAAAATCATGCAGAAAGAGATAACCTTTAAGGTAATATCGAAATTTGCTCTATGGAAGAACATATAACAAGGTGAGCAGTGGAGCATAATATTTGTAAAGAGAATTTTTAAAATCACAGGAAAGGCATTAATTTGGCTTTCTCTGACTACGGATTTGTTTTGGTGGACAAGCCAAATATTATGATAAATTAATGTATGTTTTGAACCCTCAGTAATAGGTGCAGTTTTGCATTGGCAGTACAAATAGAATTAAACATTGGCTGCGAGTACAGGTTAATCCAGGCTTAATATGCTTTTGGCACAGTTGTATTTATGAACCGGTTTTTCTATACATCAATTATACATCCTTTTTCTCATAATGAAAACAGAAATACGAAACATGCATATCTTTATAGCTTACAAGTCTTATTAATCAGACTGATGATATTTTGAAATTAACATATGGTAAAAGCTTGGGTCACATAAAGTTCAGCTGAGACTAGTTCATTCATATAGTTCCTGTCTTGATGACTGCTTTAAATTAGCTATGGAAATTGCACAGTCAAGATGAAGAATCACATGCCTTCTGAGGTTAAGGTAAAAAAAACAATAGATTTTCCTCTCTTTTTAATAAGATTTTTACTGTCTCTCCAATCTGTTATCTAATACTGACCTTTGGCAGAATTTTGATGCTTTTCCTAATCTTACAGTTGTAACTCATGAAGCTATCACCTCATAAATCTGTTTGGGGGAGCAGGTAGGTGCTACAACCCAGCAGATGAAGATATGGCTTCTTCTGCAACAGAGGGTGGGACTGTGGTGGGGTGATTTCCTTATTTCTGGTCCTATTTTGTGTTCTGTGCAGGGGTTACTTCGGTAGGTCTCAGAAGTCATTAAACAGCATTTAATTCCCTAATTTCTAAGGAATACACAAAGTAATATGTAAATTCACCTATGTCATCTAAGTTGTAAAGTGGTTATAAATATTCTTCACCCTGATGATGTCAGGACATATTAGTATTTCATTTTTACAACTACTGTGCTCCAGTTTTTCTTGAAAATTTATTTTCTTTTGTACCTTAGTTATTCATCTTTCTTTGATGGGAAATATGATCAAAACCTATTATAATCTAATTTTCTTTGTCTTGTGATATATGAATAGAAATATTTTTTTTAATGTGATACAAAGCTCTTTTATAGTTTTTCTAAAATTCATATTTTCATAGCTGGAAATGGCCAAGTCTAATGGGTTGTAATGAAAGATTCTGAAAGCAGAGCTCACTGCAAGTCAATTTGCAAGTCAAATCTCACTGGCTGAGATCTAGCCATCAAATATTGTTGAGTTACAGTGTCACCATTTTGTTTCTACCCTCATCAGTGGTATCCTCTCTGCTTTTAGTCTCTTGTAAAACTGCCCTCTTTATAGCTTCTGCATAAATGGAAGTGCCTCCCAATCTATTTGGATTTAATATCCTTTTCCCCAAAAGACTCAAGTGACCGAAACTTAATAGCTACTATCTAAACCAACTGCTGCTTTGTTTTCATCTCAAACATGTGCCCACATCTGGTGCACAGAACCAAGAGAATTGGGTGCCCAGTATCAGGAGTAGGGTGGTTTTGCCTTGGGAACATATAGAGCTCCAGCAAAATTCATCATGGAACTTTTCACACTGCCATGTGAAGCGAACAATGAGGTTCCTCCTCTGGTCACTCAGAATTTAAACTAAATATTACTCTCAAGATGAAATGAAAGTTAGCTTATTTTATTTGGCTACCTGCAGCAGGGGTTAAGAAACCTCCATCAAAGGCAAAGGCTTCAATGGACACCATGCAGCAAGACACTTAATTATAAAGAGGCAACATAGTGTTTCTACATGATGTTTTCTATGTCTCTAAACAGTGAATATACAGCCTGCTAGCCTATATATAGTGAATAAACAAAAATATGATATTGGCACAAATCTCCAGGGACAATTAGTTAAGTATTTCTGTAAAGTTCTGCAGCATTTTGAAAATATTACTGAAGGCTGACTCATATTTAATGAGTTCCACTACAAACAATTCAGTTCCAGGTTCTGGAAGCTGTAGGTGCTTATTTTTTCATCTGAAAACTTCCATTCCTCCTAATTGAAATTTTATTTTTTTCAGTCTCTACACTGGACTTACATGTTAAATGGAAAGTGTTAGACCACATACTATAAGCATTACAAAATTTGTGGTGATCCAAATCCTTCTTTTCCTTTCTCCTAAAAAGGAAATGCCAGCTATGGAAACTTACAAAAATGGTAACAGCGTTACAACCTATTAGCAGACCGCAACAGATATTTTAGTTGAGCACAAATCTTTGTTTTTTGTCCTTCTGAAAGGCTGCTCACTGTTTTGCTTCAAACTTGACAGTGTCTGTATTCTTGTACTGTTATCCTCCTTTCTGTTGCTTTGCAGACTGTTTTTGATTTGATTCAAATGGTCAACAGAAAAGTTTCTTTGAGTTGATCCAAAGTCTGATCAAAGCTTTTTTTTTGATGGGGACTAAACATGAAGGCCAGAGTCTGTTTTTAAACCAGACTCCTTAAATATCCTGTATATTTTGTCATATCATTTAAAATCTGCTGATACATGTATAAAAGAAAATTAGGTGGTCTTGGAGCATGAGACAGCTCAAATTATTCCTAATGTCAAGAATCCAAGAGTATCTCAAGGAGCTGTTATATTTGTGAGTAAATTATGGTTACAGGTAAAAATTATAGCAGAATCTCTGTATTTCTGTATTGGGAACAGTACAGATAAGTTATGGCAAAGGAAGAGTTGGACTTGGTCAACTTGGTTAGTTCAACACCTATTATTTGTATATGCTAATGTTGTACCAACATAGACCTGCTTTGAAAATCATTGGGTGCTAAACACCTTCCCAGAATCTAAGTATTATCAATATCTGTTTGCATTCAGATCACTACAGATTAAGGTCTGAAGGGATGTTAAATCATCTGGATTCTGCTGAACAATGAGAATATACCATTTGGCCTTCTGCTAGTTTATGTGACCCTGGACTTAAACAGATCCACTGTCATAAATCATCTTTGCCATGATGGTGGGACAGTTTTGGGAGCCACTTAACATGCAGCTTCTAAAAATACTGCCCATTGTCATTTCTAAAATGAAGCACCTTGGACAAATCTACTGCAACTACAGAAGCTGCTTTTACCAAAATCAGCAAGTAAAGTTTGATAGATATCTATTCTGTTATTGGTTATCTATTAGTATCTGTTTTGACATTAGC